TGAGCTGATGCATTGCTCAAGTAATGCCTGCTCTGATGGTGTTGGTTCTGTTGAACCAAATGAGTCTACACTAAGGGAACTGAGAGAGCCATTACGAGACAAAACTGTCACCACATCTTCGGAGATCGAACTTGTTTTGTTCTGTAACTTTGATGATGTCGAGTCTTCATGCTTGTCACTCTGATCTCCCCAGCTTCCATCAGATGCTATCATCAACTGCACTGTGGCTTCAGAAGTTACACTGTCTACAACTTTGTTAAGAGGGGAAATGCATGATCTTGGTTCAGAATCTGATGAACAAGCAGTGGGGACACTTGTCTGGCTAGGTACTGTATCACGTGAGCCGGCAAATGCAGATGGCTGCACAGTTTTCATTCCTAAGAAGAGAAAAAGATATGAATACCAATTTTCGAAAAGTTAACTGATCGCAGAAAGAAATACTGACACTTTGGCCCATGAACATGTCTTACTTGTAGTAATACTAGAGGTGAAGCAAACAAGAGACTTGTGGGTTTCAATTTAGGGAGCTTATACCTTTGCATGTATCTAGCACAACTATTAATCACCCCATTTACCAGTTTTATTTACCCAAACTGGGCTTCTGCCATCCCTCCACATGGCTTAAGAATCCCAGGGAGTGACAGGAGGACAGAAGAAAATATATATATCCCATCCAATCAGCACAAATCCTCAATAAAGAATTCAGTACGCAGATCCCACTGTTACCATCACTTCTCATCCACAACTGCTGTAACCAATTCACCACACTCTTCACAGGTGCGTACGTCTATTCGGTCCTCACATTAAATTATACCGATCAAATGCCATCACGTGGACAGACTTTATAAAAAATGTAAATAATGAACTTTAGAAATGTGACACAGACTCAAACAAGCTGATCTCACCTGAGATAACTTCTTCTTCCTCCCTTACATGCAGAGAGCTAAGGGAAATCTCAAGAGGGATATCTTTTGTATTAAATCGTACAGGGCTGACACATTCTGCTCCCTCAGGAACTGGATGATGACATACCAACCTGTAAACAAAACCATAACAAAAATATCTAATGAAAATAGTGAATGTGCGAACAGTCAGACATATCATCTAAAGCTTTCATAGTGACCGATTTTAAAAAAAATTTCTTGGGCAATCTGCCATGTCAATTGGTTAAAAACCATCATGGTGATTTTGAGTTTGGTTTTGGTTCCTGTGTCTAATCAGTCCTTCTTCTGGACTCTCCAAATTACACAAAGTGAACAACTTTAACTGTCAAAATATTTTTAATACTGACAGCAACAACCACATTTTTCAATATGATTATCCATGTCTTTTCACAGGTAACAACAGTACAGCCCCTACGAATGCCAAGCGATAACAACAAAATAAGGTGGGTGACAGGAAAAACTAATAACCTCCACGGAACAGAATTCTTCCTGAGAACCTAACGGTAACCCAGCCATTCATGTAATCCCCATCTGGGAGGCTGCTTATTCAATAAATTTGCAGCTACCGTCCATGCCTGGAAGTCTTCCCCTCCATATCTGCAACCTGAGGATGAACCATGGTGTGTAACAAGGAACCCATTTCACAGAGGATAGTAATGCTATAACAAACTGACATGCCCCACATATCCTGGGAAAAGACATGCTTTCCATCATGTACCATCTCTCTGACAGAAGACCCTAAAACGCTCACCCACGAGTGCTAATACCAAATCTACCCTCCGTTCCATATGTGACAATCCCCGTTACACATTTGCCTCTCTGTCTTGTCTACCTTTTGTAAGAAACTAGTATTAAATGATGCAGGCGAATACAGCAGCTGCAAACAACTGACTGTGATGAGTGGAACTGGAGATTTTAAGAGAAGCTGTGTCCAGAAAGTCTGAGGTTCATCCACTACACAACAGCAGTCGCTGGCAGGGTTTATGTAAGGAAAAAGTAAAATTTCCAGTGGGAGAGGAAAAACTTCCCTCACATTTAAATGGAAGGCAGCAGTTTGGTTTTGGGGTATCACATGAAATGTGCACTAGAAATCACAAGAGGAATTGGAATCCACGGCTTCAACATGAGCCAGGGTCGTCACAGAAATTTTTTGAATACATCAATTTCTGTGTAAGACAGCGAAGAGGTGTTACAAAAAGCGTTCCTACTGCGCATGAAGAAAAAATGTTGGCATTTTCACACTGCGGGGCACCGACAATGATGAGATCAATTCCGAAGGCAGTGGTAGTAACAGAGAAGCATGCCAGTAATTACGAGTATGGTAATGTATTCATTTACTAACTTTTCATGTTCCTGCAGTTTTAACAGCCATTATCATGTCCTTTAGTAGATTTATAGTGGGGCTAGCCACTTCAACATTTTTTATCACTTCTGAATTTCAGTATTAAACTATTTCGTTCTTAGAAATTATATAAAAGACTGGGGTACACACCACCACAAACATTTGCAGCCTACACATTAGAGGCTCATTTCTGGTTCTGTATTTATCCACTCACCTCTGTAAATTGACTGGAGGGCCATCTGATGAATTCATAGTAAGGTCACTAAGTGACGAACGTGTGGAGAAAATACTGGGGCTTCCTTCTGTGGCATATGTTTCCACCTCGTCCTTTGCATCTAAACAGAGCGGTGGCATATTTGGCCCCTGTAATATTCCACTCAACTTTTTCTTTGACACTCCCACCTCATCTTGAGTTTTTGGCTTGTGCCTCGCTGAATGCTGATCTGACACTCCGTGATTTGTTGCTCTTGGTCGAGGAGAGCTCGACGGTGCTGACGGCTTCTTGTTTGTGGGGCGTGGGGATGAGAGAGATGAACTGCCATGGTCAAGGCCACACAGATGGTGGGTTGGGGGCCTGTAATTTGTTGCAATAGGGTGATGTGATGGCAGAACTGTTACAGTAACTCCAGGAACGACTGTAGGTATCTTCTTATGTTGCTGAGAAGGCAGTTCTGATGGTGAAGGAACAGCACTGCTTCCAGTTTCGGCCAAAGTTATCCTCGAAGTCTGATTACGAGCCTGAAAGTAAATTTTCGTTGTTGAAAGAAATATGATGTTGCTTCCAGGCTGAAGATCTTAGGAAACTAGTCAGTCCACACTGTAACTTTGCAAAAATTTGTCCCTCTTTAATTTATAATAATCAGGATAAAGTTACATTTTATAAGGATTTTTATGGGAAAATCCAACTTGTTCTGATACCAAAGATTTAAGATATTTTACTGCATACAATGCATAACAGCCACTAATAGATAAAAAATTAAAATTAAAGAGTGTGCGTGCAGTACATCTATATATCCCCACAGAGGTTTACTAAGTAGGATTTGAGGTTCTCACAATAAAGCACATAAAGAGCATTCTTTTCTGGGCTGAAGCGCCATGCCGCCTCCATCATCAGCGTGATGTCTCATCACTCGTCAACCTGATGATGGAGACAGAAAGGACCTCTGAAATGTTGGTAAACTTCTACAAGATTATACAGCAGTACAACCCAGAAGATAGCCATTCTTAAATTGATGTCAGTGAATTACAATGATTCTAGATAGAAGTCAAATTTACTAAACTTTAATAAATCTCTGGTGGAGACTTTGTTAGAAAGATAATGCACACACTTAATTTTAACAGACCCATTCAGGTACTTTAATTGAAGGGTTTACGTTTATCCTGTTAAACATTTTTTACATGTGTATTAAAAATATTTGTATGTACATAAAAGAGCACAGTGTACAGTCCACACCACACAGATCCAAAAGCCACAAACTCTGTTATCAAGAATAATGCACAAATACTTGCTAGGAGTTGGTATAAATGTTACAACAGTGAAGATGTGGTATGTGATCTTCTGGGTTACGAATCATGTAGTGTTTAAACAGACATTTTGGATAGATTTACAGCCTCCAAACTAGAAATCATGTAAGCACACAGCTGGCATCATAATTACAATCACACATAATCTCTTGGCATTATCTATCTGTAGCTTTCTTTATATTAATTACAATTATTTGAGCCTGATGTAGTTTTAGCAGATACCAATATGCCTGCCTAATTTCAAGAATAATAATTATTATTTATTGTTCATGACTTTTCCTAGAAGTGTGTCTGGGTTCCACAGCAAAACAAAGGTGAAGATTATATTTTGCTTAGACATGCATTGCACTTGAAAACATCAAAAAGGTGCCTTAAAAAAAAAGAGCTTGCAACAGCAAAGCACATACATTTCATATGAAAAAGACTCAGCTTCTGAAAATCAGTCATTTGATTTATGATGAAAGACCTGCAAATGAAATTGTTTTCCTGGCATTCTCCAAATTGTTCTACAATAATTTTTTATGTTTTCCTACAATTATAATCCACATTCTCAGTGCAATTTCATTAACCTGTACTGAAACAACTGAATCAACCTATTATCATTAACTTATAAACAACCAATTAAATTATATTTTGTTACAAATCTGTGTCAGCGTTTCAAAATAGGGCAAAATAAGCAGAAAGCGTGACCACTCACCTTGGGCATTCCAGACTGAATACACTCGGCAAGAATATTGTCATTATCCCCTGAGAAGTTGGAACTATCATCAGAGAGTTCTGGTTTCTCAACTTCCCTCTCCCCACTGCTACCAGGTTCCTCTACCTCACGCACTCCCTCCAAGCGTATCTCTGACCTCTGAACCTCGGTCTCAACTCCGTCACCAGGAAGTGAGAGGACAGAGAGGTCCGAGTGTGACCCGGCATGAGAGATGTTGGCAGGAGTACCCTCTGTGCAGTAAGTCTGGACCGCATCTTCACACGCACCTCCCGGTGCCTACAGACACGATTAACTTATGGCATTGCACTGATTTTTTTAAGGGCAAAGTACTAGAATGAGCTATATAACACCAACTTCACAAAATAACAAAGAAACAGAGGAAGAACGTCAAATTATAATAACATACACATTATACAGTTACAAAGTACAGCACCAAAATTTGTCCTTGGGTAATTCATACATTTTAGAAATTAACATCACATTCGCTGTCAAATTTCATATTTTATATTTTGTTAACAAGGAGTATTATAATACACTGGTTTCCAAGTATGATTCAGACTCTTCCATGTTTCACAAAACAGTTTATTATGTTTATGAATTTTGAGACAAGACTATAAACAGAATAGTACAATTTTTTTAATTAATGGACAGGAGAGCACTACTCATGGATTCCTTCATTTCACTTACCTCATATCACTCTTAATTTCTTTTGGAGATTAATTCTTTATCTTCAATAAATTTATTACAACCATATAACCAAAACCATACTTCTGATTTCAATCACAAAGCATTCAAAACCCAACTTCCCAATGAATATGGTGCTAATTGGGCAACAAATTCTTTTCTTTTGCTCAGAGTAATATTTTATTCTTATTCTTGTATCTGCAGGACTAGCATGACCTTGAAGGGACAGCTATGAATACATGCCCCCCCCCCCTTGTTTTTTTTTAACAAGTGTATTTAGTAATGCTGCAGGCAGGGGTCTGATGTGGTGCCTGTAATTCTCAAAACCAAATTTTGGTCTGTGGCCGACTCATAGATACTTTCTTCTTAGTCACCGTAACTACATTCCTCATCAATATTCCGACTGTCAAAACACACACTGGAGTCAATTATTCTCTCACGCGCTTGTGAAGGGAGCAGCTGTCAATTTCCTTTGTTTGCGAGGCTTTGGTGCCATGCAGCAACATTGTATTTCATCTACACTGTCGCTCCACAAATCACTTTCTCATAGACCATCAAATTGCTCTAAAACTTCGCCTCTTTGCTCACCTTTCATGACAATGTACGCCATCTTGCAGCAGCAACTTTCATATGGCACCACAATAATTATTCTGAACAAAGGAACAGAATGTTATCAAACCTGAATCCTAATTTTGCATAATCTGACTTACAATTTTTCCCTTCAAGTATCTGATAACATGAAGAATCATAAATGGCATATGTCTCATTAAACTGTTTAACATCAAGATCTGACTTACTGCTATGTAGTTCACACACTTGGCACTGTTTTCTACAGCTCCTTCCTGCTGTCTTGGCTGATTTACTTTTCCCGGCTTCAGATTGCTGTTGGAAGACGTTTTAACAGGGATCCCACTCGGACGTCCGCTACGTAATATTTGTGAATGAGGCGGTGAAGATTGGAATCTGCCGACACCTGAAGGCTGACGTGCTTGAACTGGAGCGTTCTTGTTGGCATGTTCAACACCATACTGACACTGTCGTTGCCTAACACGTGAGAACAAGACGCAATATTACCATTTTCCAATGTATGGTCAGTATTAATGTCTTCAAAGAAGTAAAATCATATGTAACACAAATCAGTAAAGGATTTTGTTAGTACAGCTGACCATGATTTCAACGTACTAAATAATAACTTAAGTGTTCAAAGAAATTGGTACTGCAGTTACATAAAAAGATGCTGTTCTATCTCTCAGCCTATACTTTTTGATCACCAATCACAAATCACAGCCTACACAACAAAGACAAAATGGTTGCGTAGATGTCAACGGAAAATCACATCACTATAAAGTGTTTAGAATACTGACTGGACGACAGAACTGCTCACTGTTTTTGTAACCCTGAGCAAATGAACTTCCTAATTAAAAATGTGATTTGCTCAAGTAATGAGAAGTAAAAGTAGCAAAGGAAGAGAACTTCAAATTTAATCTTATAACTAAATAATCCCCATACATGATACTGTGAATTACTTCCAGTGTAATGTTCACAAGATAAAAACTGTACTAGCTGCACGCACTTCAGGTACCTGCTGTTTTGCATTCCGATATTAATGCAGGCTGCCAACATATCTTCGTCGTTCTCCTCCTCACCCTCACTCACTGGAGCCAATTCACAACAATCTGCCAGCTCCCCACGCTTCTCCTTCTCCACATCTTGTTTCTCCATGCCATCCTCCCGATCTCGTCCAACCAAGTCCAGTCGTGCTGCGTGGTGAACGTTGCTGGAGCGTGCGTGGGATGATGGTTTCCCCAGCACCTCCTATGTTTCCCATAAGCATAACATAGTTCTCACAACTTCAAAATGTACATAAGAAAAGGTCAAAATGAAGACTGCCCCCAAGGATTTTGAGGGTGCAGCACACAGCCAAGAACTCTTTATCAACAGATGTAAGCCATTTTACGGTCGCGTAAACACATCACCATTGAGTATGATCATATTACAGTATATGCATTTTATCTCTGTCAAACAATTGTGTGAGTAACAAATATAGATAATCCTGTGCCCTTGTCAGATATGAGGTATTAGGGGTACAGCTTCAAAACAAATAATTCCCATTTAGCTACACTGAAATCAAAAAATGTTTGAATCATCTTAACACTGCTTCACATGCACGTGTGCGCGCACATGCATACACACACACGTGCACATAAAATTTTCTTACAGCACAGATGCAGAATCCATCACTTCCCATTGTATGTAATTCTGAATAAAAAAGAACAAACATACCTTCAGCACTGCGTCATTGGAAATCTTTGGTTCATCGTCAATGGTGAGGGAACTGAGGCTGGTTGTTCTTGAAAATTCAACTGGTGTGTCCTCTTCCTTGAAGGCTACCACATCATCTTCAAATACACTGCTTTTCACAGCACTAGAATGTCCTGTACCTGAATCAGTACAGAGAACATAACTTTAATTGCAAATTGGAAGATTTAGTATACAAACTGATCTGCATGAAAGATACCAACGCACAGAAACAACAGAAGACAGTGTTAGATAAGATTTCCATATTCTCAACCACTTCGCATGCTTCCGAAGAAATAACATCAGATACGGATGAGCTGCAAACTCTGTCAAAAGCAACTGTTTCATACTGAGAAAATGTCTGATGCTGTCCTCCATCTTTGATACTCGCCGCGCCTTCCTTTCTCAGATGTACAATCTGCACACAATAAATATGTTTCTTTACGATACCGGAAAGGTGGACAAATAACTTAAAACACGTACGTGCTGAAAAACAATACGTGAAAATACAGGTGAGAATGACAGGCTTTAATACATTACATAAGAACACTTATCTGCACTTGGCATTAAGAAATTCTGTCATCACAACAACAAGCAATGTCTGTTCATGATTCTGTTGGGTTTCAGTAACAAATAAAGCTGTGAGGATAAAAGATCGGTTATCAGTTATTAGTGATTTTTGCTTCTCTCACTGGTTTCAGTCTGCATTTTTTTACAGTTTCAAATTTACTGATAACACATGTACAACTACTACACTGCACAGAAACACAGATGTATGCCTCGTCAATCTAAGTCACACAGTACAGGGCATGCCAAACTAGTGAACCCCCCCGAGGAGGAGATTGCCAGATTACGTTACTGAGGCCACGATCGTCCCAGGCCGGGAGGTGGTACGGCTTGGGGAGGGTAAAGCGGTGAAAAGTCAAAAGAAAACCAAATGAAACTACTTCGAATAATCGAAGTATATTATTTAATGAAAAATATTTAAATATAAGATAAACAGAATCAAGACACCTTTCAGGGCTCAAACTCCGGCCGGGTATCCAACTCCAGATGCCCAACTCAACCCCCACAAACCCCGACTTGTCTTCCGACTTTCTCCTCGAGTCGTTCTCTCTCCGGCGGACACACACAGACTGCCCTTCTGCCCTGCTGTCTCATCAGGGTCTCGAAGCCGCTGACTCCAAAGAACTTAGATATGGGAGATAAGCCACTTCGAGCCATGAGGCATGCCAAACCAGTAAGGACCAAAACATAATCTGTTCCATGACATAATGTACAATTCCAAGTACAAATTTAATTTAAATAAACAAAATTTTAGACCTGAAATATGTAAATGTATAGAAAGAACAAAATAACCCCCTGTAATTCATTCATTTTACACACTTCACACTCGGAAGCTTATAATTCTTGTAATGGCAGATCTTCCATGTTGATGGCCTTCACATGCATATTTTGTACTGTGACAACAGCTATCTGAAAGAAGTCATGGAGTGGGAATCCCTTTTAACCTTCTGAGGGCAGCCAAAATCAAAGAGTAATTAATGTCTTTATCTGTCCCATACGGTGTTAAAGAACACTCATATTCTTTCCTCTGCCTTAACTTATCATCCTTTGACCTGTACAGTCTCTGGCAGTAAAAGTAAAGAAATCCACAGGCCAAGACTCTCGATTGCTCCTGATGAGAGTGCAATATGAGGATGACTGCTCGTACAGTACAAAACAGTGACCTATAACTCACTGACGACTGTGATGCAAAGAGGATTGTCAGTACAATGAACTAGAACCCACTGTAAACTGTGAACCATGGGGGGAGGGGCCTGTTGTTCCTCACATTCACGATGTTCTGACCCTCTGAGTTAGCTAAGACAGGTCAAAAATGTACATTTCATCCATGCGGACTAAAAGATGTGACCTCCGGTGCAGGAAACTAATGCCTAAGTCTAAACCAGTCAAAAGCCACCCCACGACAGGTCATCACACTGGGTGACACAAAAAAAACGCATTCACTGAAGGGTAAATATGCAAGCACAAATGAACATAAGTATAAAAGAACTGAACCATATCACTCAATTGTGCATACATAGCAAAATTTATTCCCATGAAAACCAAAAGTGAACTGCTTTAAAAATCTGCTGACCTCAAAACGGAAGTTAAATTTAAAGAACCGAGCAGGTGGATCCTGCTGTGAACTATGAGAAATTGGAACATGGTTTTGCTAAAAGTCATGGCACATCCTATGACATACAAATGTCTTGTACCTTCAAGCCTGTTTGCTCCAGGTACAGGCTGCGCTCTGATGTTACCACCGTCTTCTATTAATTTACTAGTGAACTCTGCTGGTGGTTTTGTGTGACGAGGGCTTACTGGAACAGTCTGTGTCGGAGAGTCAGGAAGTTCACTTGGTGACACAACACCACTTGTTCGCCGGCTGTAAACATTATGTACTAGTTAATGGCAAATGAAAGAACACACACAAAATTACACAATGAAGGTCTTACAATGTACGTCCTGCATCTAGTATTGAAAGCAATTAAACAAATGACGGGATTCTAAACTATTTGTAGCGCACATGCAAGATATTGGTATGTGTATAAAACTCTGGAGCTGACACCTGAAATAAGACCATTTTGGAGACCAGATTTGAATAATTCGACAATACTGTGATTGAGTAAAGTGGATATCTTGTATGTTATCATTAATGAATAAAGAATAAAATTCAGAGATAATTCAATTAACATCCATTACCTAAAATCACTGACAACAGAGCTGCGGTCATCATGAATAGAGTGCTGCTCAAAACTGCTGAGAGATCCAAGAGAACTGCAGCGCGAAAACATGAGGGGCGTCTCCTCTGCATAGTGGTCAGCGCCACCAAATGTAACCACTTTGCCTGCCATCAAGAAGAGACCATTCATTACCTTGTCTTTGGCAGAAATAACTTCCTCTACAAATGGATATCAAATTAACATGAATGTGCATCATCTCTTTCAATGAATTCACTCAAGCCTTTATTATATTGTTCCATACCAAAATACTTAATGCCCATAATTCAGAAAATACGTCACAATATCCTATTAACGTTCGTTCATTCACGTGATTAAAGTACGTCAGGTCGCATATTACAGCGACTGACTGAACTAAACTAATGCCAAAGTGTTACAAACTCTCCATGTAACAGCTCGCTGTTCAGGGGTTATCAAACACAAAGGCCGACTGCTCACCTGCACTTGACACAAGAACAGGTTTTTGACGGAGGATGCCAACCGCAAGCAACAAAGTAGGTTCCGAAAGAAAACATGAGTGTATGAAATGTACTACTGCCAGGGTAACAATTACTACCGGCATCTCTGCATGAGAGTTTAAAATATGTGTGAGGGCACAAAACCTGCCTCGCACTTCAATCAAAAGCTGTTTCATGCCTTTTGGAAACGAACACAGCGACCAAGTGGTCTTCACACCTACTTTGTATCTGGGTTCAAATTTTGGCCTGGACACCAGCAATCCTGAGTGAGTGGTTCTTCTCAGTACCTCCAAACTTAAGTCAAACTAGCAGCTTAAAGTAGGCCATCACCACTTCCTTTACAATACATTCATTATTAACCCATCACTTAATGCTAAAGAGTTTGACCTGACATTGACGTTAAATACATGAAATAAGTATTATCTGAATGGAGGTCTAGAAATGACCACAGTGCAGATCAGGAGTAACGCTGGTCACACTCTAAAATTTTTACCAATATGCTCCTTTGGCTCATCAATATTGGAACTGTGAGAACCTCAAGTCTTACATTGGAAATGAATTTTGCACTATGAAAGTTTTATCTCCTTAAAGAAGGACATAATTAAAAATGTGTAATGCTGATCACCAAAATGCTAGTTAATGAAGTGAAAGTCTTATTTCCAAGCCATAGCTTTAAAAAATTTTCAGTGAGAAAGGAAATAAAAACTACCTGTAGCTTAAACATAAAATCAGTTTTGGGATTCGTAATTGTAATGTAAACTGCTAACTCACCCTCCTTGTCCCCTCGCTGCTGCTCCACCTTCACATCTTCCGGAGGGCCAGAAGCCTCACCCCCTGCATTGGCTGAACCAGCACCTTTTTCTTTCTCAGCGACCTTGTCCTTGCTTTCTGCATCACCCTCTACTGCAGTGTCATCTCCTGGCTTCTGCTCCAGATCTGAAGTAGTAGCATCAGAGTCAGCAGCCTGACCTGATGATAATGGGGCCTCAAGTGCATTGTCCACGTTAGCTGGAACACTGTTTAGGGAGCTGAGGGAACTCACGCGAGAAAAATGGCCTGGAGTACCTTCTTCACAGTACTGCACAGGTTTCTCAGGAGACATGAGGCCAGAACTCAGACCTGACTGAAGCCTTTTCAGTGGTTGTTTAGGAGCTGGAGGCAAGGCTTTCATCTGAGGTCCCTTTTCTGTAAAATCCTTATCAAAATTAGATAGAACTTCTGCATTACAATTTTCATTTTCATCAACACTTTTGCTTGCATTGTCTTCTACGGATCCACCTTTCGTATAATTTTCTGGCCGTTTCTTTTCTCCACTGTCTTCTGAATGAGGTGTAGGAGGTTCGCAGTGAAGGTCTGACATAGACGTGGCAGTTGAAAAGTTGTATGGCGTCTCATACGGTGTTCCTTCTGTACAGTACGTCTTCAAAGTATCTTCATGAATCGGATCATTACCATCATAATAACTTCTCTCTGGTCTCTCTGGTTCTGTACCGCTGAGCTCATGATTCTTTTCAAATTCTGTCTCTTCACTTCCTTCTGCATACTTCAAACTATAATCTGTTGGCTGATCCAAGTCAGTTTCTGCATAATCTCCATACGCAACATTCATCTTCATGTTTTTGCTGACATGGGCATTCCCTTGATGCCTGTATGAGTAACCACGCCCTAAATCATTCTGGCTTTGTTTCCCTCGCATGCCGTTCGTCTTTCTAGAACTCTGGTACTCTTCTGAGCCTCCACACTCTTTGTCCCCTTCTGTCTTTATGTGATTATTTTCAGCTGTAATCACGTCCGTCTCTGCAGACTGGGCGTTCTCTTCAACATATTTAAGGCTGTAATCCACAGGCTGCTCCTGGCCTTCCGTCTCATCATCGTATGCGAAGTCAGAGTACTTGGTTCTTACCGTGTTGTAAGAAGAGGTGGCGATATAACTTTGCTGCTGTGTCGAATGCTGATACTGCAGTCTATTTGCGGTACTTCCATAAGATCCAGCAACAAGAGGGCTAAATGCTAATCTCCGGTTCAATGATCTCATACTATCATACAGAATGTTCTTTGGTTGTTTAGACGAATCTGAATCCAAATAAACAGTGCTGCTGACTCTGTCATCACCAGTTTCTTCCCTGTTATCTGAAGGCTTTGGATCACACTGGTTTTCTATGGATGACCGATGAGCCTCCATGTCCCTCGAGAGGTCTGTTACACTCATTTGATTCCTTGCAGGATCACAGAAGTTTGTTTCACTGATTTGACCCAATCTTGTATGTTGGTACAATAATTCATGACCGTAATGGGAAAGAGACTGCTCGGTATTGTCTTCGTTGCTAAGATCCGATGGTTCGGCTTTCCTATTCTCCTCTCTTTCTCTCATATTGTTACAATACCTACGAAGAAATCTTTGATCAGAGTTTTCACCTCCTGATATCTGAGAATTAATACGACCGGAATCACTCAGACTTCCCGTCAATCCTTGTGACATCCCATTTGTTGGCGATACTTTCCCATATGTTAGTGGGTTTATGATGGTTCTGCTCACACGCTCATATACTGTGTCTGACAGAGTGCTGGTCACAGAATCCCTGCTATCAGATCTTGCTACTGCTCCTCTCGAGTGATACTTTGAAGGTTGGTGCTGTTGATAAGAATGGTACATCCTGCTGTTACGTCGCTCTGCGGAACCAAAGCAACGTTCTGTTGTTGAAAAGACAAATTTTTCATCACGCAAACCGACGGTGGAAGCTGAGGGTGATGTACTTGGTTCAATGTTGTCACAGGTCTCTGACAGAGTCTCATCAAGCTCTTGTTCAAGTGCTCGCTGCTTACGAACATAAAGACTTGGGAGAGCAGGAAGTCCTAAACCTTTTGCTGTGGAGTCTAGGGGAGGGAAATTATTGTTTGGCTTTGCACTTAGCAAGTTTTTCAATGCTGCACTAGATCCCATGGAGATCATCTTATGTTTTGAATGAACAAGACTCCGAAGCATGCTAACGGCACCCATGTCCCACAATGCGCGCTGGTCCTCGGCGCAACGGGCCGAGAGATTCCAAAGTGTTCCACATGCATTGCTGACAATTGTCAGGCTTGGTGACTTCAACTGCTGCAAAAGCACTTGTAGACAGTTGTGCTCTCGAAGAACTGTCCTGCAAAGACCAAAGTTCAAAGTTACCCGTTACAATTCAATAAACTTCTGGAAGAGTTGATAGCAGACATTATTACTTTGTCAAGTAAATGTGTATAATTGTTAAATAATGTTCAGAAAAGTAAACATTTTCTTCAAATTTTGTTCCAATTACAGAAAAAGATTAGGAGGCATTACTTCTCAGCCCACACACATATTACACAAACAAAACTGATTCTCTTACCCTCCTTTCAATGTGCTGTCTAGTAAACAAATACCTGTAATCTTCCCGAACAGCAATGTGACTAGAAATATTGCGCAGGATTCCTCCAGCATTCTCTACAATCGCAAGCGTCTTTGATGGAGCTTTGTAACTTAACATGTCAACAAGGAAGCCCAAGGCACCATCAACAGCACAGATATCAACCTATTTAAAAAAAACAGTCCTATTAGTGAAAGATGATTATCAACACAAGGTCTTTGGGATTTAAGCTCCAATTTGGTTACATTCTACACACTTCATCCTCAGTATGGGAAGCACTTTTAACAAAATTTTGTTAACATAAGGGCCAGGAACAAATTATGTTACGTAACAACTTTTTACAGATAAGTCTCTTCTCTTTTCTTGAAGTGTAAACTGGAAAGGAAGAACCAATTCTTTCCCAACCAGAAGAAAAGTGACAAGTAAGTCCCTCTGATAGGCATTCTATCGTCAAATTCCTACCTACCTTGTTGATGCTGCAATGTGCAGAGAGATTCCAGAGCGCAGATAAGATGGATTTTAGTGTGGATTCTTTTTTCCCTTCCATAGCAGCATGCATCAAACCTGAGACTGCGCCAACTTCTCGAAGCGTCTGCTTACTGGCTCCATCTGCACGCCATGACAAGTTTCTTAAGACACTGGCTGTCACCTGCAGTATATCACGTATGTCAGTCTCACACAATCTTGATACATATGCATGTATTTTCATTCTACAGTGAAGAATGTAATATTTTTTGGGAGTAATTCATCTAACAGCAAAAACATATTCACTTTACTAAAGAAAACTTCAGATTAATGGCTGGCATCAAACCTGGAAATTCATGTAGAAGTCTGTTCAAGAGATCAGAGATCTTACCTATTCTATTAATGTAAATATATATTCTCATTAATAAAACTTCATTACAAATAACCAAGAACATTTTAAAACCAATTCTGCTATAAACCATGCAGGGATCAAAATTTTCAATAGTCTACCATCAAGTCACTAAGTAACTAGATGGCATAGGGAAGCCGAAGGTTCGTCACTGAATTAACCAAAGCTGTCCACTGGTCCCTGTTCTGGGCCAGCAAAATCCAATCGCCCAACATCAAGTCTCACAACTTTTAAATTCCACAAAGTTTTGCCTCCTTAAGAGCACAAAGTCCATATTACCCAATCGACTCATAATCTTGTTTCCCGTGGAAACTAATATGCTTGTATGCAACATCAGTGGGTCCCTCCACATCATAAGAGAATTTTAATGCGGAGGCACGTACTATGTTGTTCTGAGAGCTACTATGAATAATGCAGCAGGTGCAGGCCTGTTGCCAAAACACCAGTAACTCAGGTAACAGAGTTTAAACCTGCATTCCTTGGATATCAATGGGGCTGGTCCACTACAACTTTGCATGCATCACATGAAATGTCATGAACAGGTTTACCAGAATCCTTTCAGAACCCATAAAAAGTCTTCTTACTCCTGCTACAATTCTTTTTACCTGTCGTAGATCTTCACTTGGGGACTTCAACTGAGCAACCAGGGCCTTCATGAACTGTCGAAAGGAACACAGCAAAGCTTTGTTAGCCCCATCACCAAAGGTGAGGTTTGTCAACGCCATTCCCGCATACCGCCGCAATGTGACGCAGTATTGATCACCTGTTGTACTTCCATGTGCTTCATGATCAACCTGAAAAATACAGAAAACCCACTATAAAAACCAAATCAAAAATGTATATTTATATGAAAATCAGTTCTTTCAAAGTAAAAAGTTATTCATGCCCCTCTATAAATAGACGAGAAGGCTGAGAATTTTACAGTTAATCTGCATTCCTCCTTGTATTTATTGCTGACCTATCCCATTCCCTTTGCTTAAATATTACCCAAGTTTCTGCAGTATGACATCATTTTCATTTGCAGCTACCCTTCTGATTCCAATTTCCGAGTTAATACTTGTGAATCTTTTGTCTGCAAGCTCCTCCTTCCAACATCTTCTTTTCTCACAACCCAGCACGTGGCTCCGGCCGTCTTCTGTATTACACATAGGACACATTCCCTGATCTCGTATATTTCCGCTAACACTCTTCAATCTCCGAACGCCCATTTTCCTCCATCCTGTACCTCTTCTAGCCTTTTGGTCAGTGACTTATACTGCATAGACAACTAACATTGTACTAGCGTAAACTACTGATTACTCAGGATAATGAAAGGGAAAAGACGAACACACAATAAAAATATATTACACAACTAAAGTTTATTTTGAGAAAGTGCATGCAATGACAGCTTTGTTTTCGTGAACTGTTTAGAATCCTCCTCATGACAGTTCTAATTTTCCAGTGGCTGTACTGTCACTGTGTTTGAACCGTCTCTGACCCACACAGTCTACCAAAATGTCAACACACTGTAGCACCACGCTATGACTGATACACTCAGTACTTTTTCCTTCTTCTTCACAGTCATTCTCCGCACCCTCTACTTCCCCCTTCTGTTTTGTGCTAGCATTAGCAATATCCATATCCAACGTGTGCTAGAAGCCCAGTTCACATTGTCGGTCAGCATTTCCAGTACCAAGTTCCCCTCTCCCCCCACCACCAATACTTTCCACGAAGCACAGAAAAAAAAGTCTTGTTCGACTGTATCTTCTACAGGCTTTCCTAAAAAAAACACCAACCCTCCCCAAAGAACAGTACAGAGCAGAAAGAGTTTGAAAGCCTAGTTCACACGTGCCCAAATCCACAGATAAAAAAGTGACGCATGGATGATAAGCACACAGGTAATCAGATTTTACTGTACAGAACCACGAATTTACGTTACCTGAAGAAGACATTAAGAAAACGTAATTAGTAAATTTAGAAACTACAGTTGTCCTTGAAAACTAGCAGGTTAGTTGACATTTCAAGCTCATTGAGCTTACTGAGATCACCACTGCAGTGCTGCATTATTCCAGGAGTGTGGGAAACTGGGAGAGCAGAGAAGTCATCTAGTAAGAGCCAATCATTAACGCCCTAATCACTGTAAAGTACATCATCATACACCAAATTCACAGTCATTAAGTCATCTAGTGAGTCACCTACAAAGCTAGCAGCCACATTCAGTGCCAAGACTGCGTACACAGCGCTACGAGTTTAAAAGTCAGTAAGAGTACCATCTGGGCCAACAGTCCGATATGAGCAGTAGCAAACGAGTCTACGGCCAGTCAGTCTTGAAAATGGGCATTTAAGAAGTATAAAAAAATGACGCTGAACCTATTCCAGGAAGCCGGTGGCCCCAACACAATTTTGGAGCATGTCCTGAAGCAGCAGTGACATTGCCTGCCGGTTGGATGAGTCTGATTGCGTACTTCATGGAGTATTGGGGTATGATACATCACAGCATAATTGCTAGCATCTATGGCACATTAAATCAGGAGCATACCACAAGGTGTGCCAATCAGCATTTCACATCATAACATGGTAAAGCAGGCACAACATAAATCTGACCACAGACCATTTGGACTTTTGCTTAAACATTTCTATAACATTTTTATAACACCGTGCTTAGGGCCAGGGGCACCTTTACCTTAATCTGCGATACAAACGATAATTTAACCAATTTATTACAGTATGCCACTGCATACCTCTATAAGCTCTGCCACTGCATGCAGACCGCCAAGCTGACACATGGCATGACGATGCTCTTCGTCAAAGGACAGTTTCATCAGGGCAGCAACGGTGGGTCCCGGATGCCGCTCCATGTCGTCTAGTACCAGAGAACAAGAAGAACCTTGTCCAGCTAAACTTACTTCCTCCACATTCCCTCTCAACACCAAAAACAATACTTCCTGATCAACTCTTGTAGCTGCTGCAAAAAATTTAATATTTAGCACATCAGGAGAAGCTCCAGCAAAGCACGCTAAGCACACTACTCAAGTCACATACGGCAACTCTACAGCGGTGAGGGCATGAGGAATTGCGGTGCAGTCTACATTTCAACACTCATCCAGTCCTGTTACTGTTCACATGAATTCAAGGCAACACTATCATCTCATAACACTTATCAAGCGAAAAATCCTCAAGACGAATGTTTCCTCAAACTCAGTGCTTAGTACGATCATCATGCCACTAGACGCAAGCCCATCTTTGTACCTGACACAACTGAAGGCCAATGGTTTTCGAGAGAATTTCTGACTGTTTCTGTTTTAACCTTCACATAAAGTGCGTGTATTTTCAAGCTATAAAATTAGTGCAAAACTTGCAAGAGAAACGTATTAATCACGTGACAAACGGCAGTCAGTTCATCTGAAGTGGTGAAACACGCAAGGCAAAGCACAGAAAGGACCTGATGACAGAGACGCAGTACTTATACAACCACGAATAAATCTGAGAATCTTCAAGTGGTTTTAAGAGAAGTATCCACTATCAGCACCAGAGTTGAGTAGTGTTTGTGCGTTTTCAGCAATCATAAACAAACAAAACAAGTTAGAACTCCCGGAAGAAAAGGGAAAGAAACAGAAAACTGTCCTTGTGAGGCGCAACAATTACGTTAAACGCACAGCGAAAACTGATGTCCACAAGTTGTTCTTTGACAATGAACTGCCAGCATCAGACACATCGCTCACATCTATCAGCACTGATCCTGACGTGCCAAATTTAAAAAGAAAAAACTCTGTTTAGAAGAAGATACCAAACAAAATAGTTGCATTACGTAACATGGTCCCAATCTCAGTACAAAATCACCAAGCACAAACACACGGCGTATTTTCTACGAAACTAAAAGATTGATCGAGAAGCAGTTTTAAAAAACAAAATGTCTAAGCCCTAGTTACATTTCATAAGCACAATGTATATGGAAGGATGCATCTAAAGGATAAATATAAATAGAATTATGCGATTTTAAACTATTTACATCCGTTCTTCTCTCTGACATTATGGATAATGAAGAGTCTACAGCAATTGGTCCTAAGCATCACTGCAGGAACTTGCAAATAATTCTGACGCATAAGCGCATTTAGGAGGATGCACTAATCATGCAGTTTTAGCAAATGTGAAAATGTCCAGCAACAGAAATAAATGAGACAGGAATGGAAATGAATATGAACGATGCCACTGTGTTTAATAAACCAACACACACCTTCACCTCGTTGATACGAGCACGAAAACCAGCAAGGATAAAACAAACAGCATACCACAAATTATTAAATGCAGAAACAATGCAAAGGAATTAGAACTCAATAGTTGAGAAATGAAGGAACACAAGGGTCTGTAAACAATCTCAGTTGTAAACTGATAAACACTGGAAAAAAACTAACGCCAAAACATTTTGCATGATCTGACATGTTTTTTTGTCTATCCCTGAAAAACAGATGTGAGTAAACTTCCAAGCTGCAGAACCTGAATTTTGCCCTTAATATGTCTCCCAACTTCTTAAGAACTTCGGTTCTTGCATATTCTTGTCTACCAGACTTAGGGAGCACATGGCAGAAACGCACGTCTACTTTTGAGTTTTACAAATTTTTGTCTGAGGCATTTCTCAAAGTAGTACGTATTGAACAGAAGTTATCAAAACTGAAATTAATTTTGTTCCTCAAGTAAAGTGGTAGCAATAATTTGAAAAATATGGTTTGGTTGAACAGAGCCAAACACATACGGTACAAACAACCTGCAACTGTTTCTTCTTCTTCTTCTTCTTTCTCATCTCCCATTTTTGCCTTTATAGCGTCGGGGTTGATTGCTCGGTCCACCTCCTCCATTCCTTCCTATCCCTTGCTAAGAATTTCATCTGCGTTAAAACTTTTCCCCTTTGCCTGTCCTATTTCTCTAATAGTATCCAAGTAGCTCTTTCTAGGTCTTCCTCTTGTTCTGGCACCCTCAAATCTAGCTTCCAAAAACTGTTTCGTCTTTCTTTCATCTGCCATTCGAACAACATTTCACTTGTTTATACCTGTAACTGTTTGAATATCTATATTGGGAGAAAAACACCACTGATATACGCAATAACATCCATTCATATATCAGTCCCCTGTTATCTCTTATTCTCCATCACCACTCAACAACGGCCTCAGAAAAAGTGACCACAGCCTGACTTACAATACTCCTCAAACACTTGTATTCCAGATCCCATAATCTTCCTTAATATTTATCTTGCCGTTTCATCTGCATCATAACACAACAACTTAAAATATTTATTAATCAAATACTTTCAATAAGGACAATGGCTATGTTCTTTGAAATTTACCACTGCAATATTCAAAACATTCAATTTCCGTCACTGCCTTGCCTTCCAAGCCATCTTACCTTGAAGGGCAGGTTCCTGACGATCCAGTCCATTTTCAGCTGGAGCGGCATCACCGATCATTTCACGAAGGGAGTCGCAATACTCTCGCACCTGCTCCAGCAGTCGCAGCACCCTCGCCTCACGACGCCCTCGTTTGTCATCAGGGTGAGAGTGAACCATGTTATGCAGAGCTAATGCTGCACGCTGTCTTACATCTGTGTCAGAGTCTGGGGCATGCAGGAGCTGCACCAGCAGGGGTAAGCAACCTGTCAGTTATTTAAAAAACAATATAAATTTGTGGCGACGCAGTACGCTAGAATCTACAGTAGTTGAAAGCAACTCCATTCCCTTCCCCTTTTAAGCACAACAACTATCAAAAGTTACAAAAATGAACTTATTAGCGTCTCCATACTTGTCCGTCTAACAACTCAAAAATAGTTAACACATTTACTAAAATGTGTCAAGAATGATCACAATTTTGGCTAAAATCAATCAACAATAACAGGCACTTCGAACTATACAAGTTTATGACGAACGATCTCAGCCATAGTCCAAAAGTTATTGGCTGAGTCCATGGTCATTAGGCCATCTGCAATCAGTGGAAGGTCATCTGCCATAGGTGCAGAGTTATTTGTCTAGGTCACTGGCCAAAGGTGACCTCCAGGTCCAGTTATTCTTAGCACAACTGCCATACCACAGCTTCACCACCAGATACTTAAGACCATAACAAAACCTACTTTCTGACATCAGATGACCGTATTTTATCGAGCACGATGACACAATATTACAAAAATATATATGTGAGCCACGCAAAACTCATCTGTGGTTTGCAAGTAATGTGAACCCCCAATCTAGTTGGCTTTTGGTAAAATAACTGAAGTGTGGACCAAGTTCGTTAAATAATTTAATCTGCTACCTTCTTGCGTTTGCTTTGCATCTAAGAAAGAGCAGTAGTAACTAAACTGAGACATAACAAAAATATGACAACCCCAACCAACAACAACAACAAATGTTCAAGCGAGAATTAAGAGAGTCCAAGCACGTCTACAGAACGAAGATTTCCGTCTTCTGGGTTGTTGCGCCGTGTAGTCTGGTCAGTGTTTACATACTACGTACTCACCGCTGTGAAAACCTCAAATCTTACATGTCTACAGAACATTTTACATGCTGGATTTTTGCAGTGGAGTTATCCCTTCACTAACGAAGCAAATTTTTGCTCAAAACAAAATGAAATAATTAAAAACAGAGATCAGTAAGACTTTTCAACCAAGCAGTATTACTCCAGAAATTATGACAAGCCCCATAAATAAATGTTCTCCACTTCCTGAGATCCTCTTTAAGACTTGTTTCCAAGCCCAAGCCTACCTGACTGTCTCATAGCAACACAGCTGTCTGGAGAACTACTCATGGCTAACAGCGTCCTACTCATGTCCTCCCGGTCATGGGTCCCCAGCATAGACAGGAGGCTGTACACTATCTCCACTTTGGCTCCTAACTGCTGCTGGCTGTAGGTTCGACGTGCTGCCGCAACATCATCGGGCAGCATGCCCCCACTTGCCGAACCCACGCTCGACGTAAAACTCATCACGCTCGACACATCCTGTTATTAATAAAATAACAGTTTGTAGCAAAACATCTAATACAAGTTTTGCATTAGTGCTATTCACCAGAAGCAAGCAGTTCCCCTGTTGACGCCAATTAACTCGGGTTCAAAATTTTGCCCTGAATATATTCAGAAGATTAAAACATATGAAGCTACAATTTCATCTGCTGCTCTCTATATAAGTGAAACTGATCTCTCCCATTAAAGGAAGAACACAGCAGAGAGTGTTTGAGAACGACGTACTTAGGAAAATATCTGCAGCTGACTGACGGGGATGGCGAACATGACCTTGAGAAAGCTTGTGGGGAAAACCCTGAGGTTTCCCAATGATGTGTAGGCTCCATTAACATAGACACAATGAGGAATGCAGCAGAACAATGAAATTAGATGCAAGGAATTCAAATGTTGCTCAACCAACACGGCAGAAGAACGTTAACGTTGAATGATTCTACCTGTGTGACGCTCTTGCTCCCGCTTGTCCCGCCTATGCAGCTGGGCCCACTGTGCCACAGGCTTCTTTCAACAGGCCACGTCCCATGGTACAAAGCAGAAATATTATGAGTTTCCACAGACTCTGGCACCTGCTGAGTCTGCGTTCCACTACTTGTCATCTTGGAATCTCCACCTGCTCCATCACCTCCATCCTCCTCTGAAGAATTATCATCATCATTTTTTTGTCTGCGCAGCTGCTGAAAAGTTTTATGCAATGAGTTCATCAAAGCTTCTAGAAAAATTATATACTTTAAATAAACATCTAAATTTAACAGAATGTTGTATTTTCTTCTCAAATTACTGTAGCATCCAATTACACACCACAAGCAGAACAACGGATTCTGTAGTGAGTTTTCCCTGTTGGAACGACAAATCTCCGCGGTTCCATTGTAAAACATGAATGAGCTGAAAAATGACAGCAACGGTAACTGAAGAATATGAAAACTAAGATTTTTAACTTCAAATTGTTGATTACTCTGGACTGCACAATCTCACACTACTAACGATGACGTGAAAAGTGAGATCACTGGTGCAACGACATGAAGGAGGTATACCTCTGTCATCTTCTTTTCATCCTCTTCTTTGGGCTCCTCCATAACATCCTCCTTGTGGTTGATGCCAATTCCACTGCTCAGAAGGGAGACTGGTCTGTCCCTCAAAAAACCTCCATGAGCATCAACGGCCAAACCAAGTCTAGCAAGAACTGACACTGCAGATAATTCTCCATTACCAACACCGCCATTCTGAAAATGGAGCTGTAAGCACAACCAAATGCGTAATTATTGACTAATTTATTATAACCTACACTGGCCTACCAAGCGTAGCGCAGAGGAAGGAAGAACGAGCGAGATGAAAAACATGAAAGACGCGCACAAATCACGTTCATTTTAAAATCTACGCCATTTTGCAAAATACATCATAAGAAAAAGTATTTAAAATTTGGTGTTGCCCGTCTGGGACTGCTCGGGTTAGGTTCCTCTGAATTTCCAGACCTCTACTACTAAATCTTGACTCCTGTGCCTCACTGACATACAAAAGCTATAAAGAAATCTTGAAGAGAGGTTTTAAAACAAAGTAGACTAAAAGGTGCACTGAAATAGAGACACATCCAAATTCTAAATGAGAAATTTTAAGAAACTTCTATACCCATTGATTATATGGCGCACACAGAAGTCAGACAGCACTGACGTCTTACTGAAACAAAATGGAAGGTGCTAGAAAATAAGAGACTGTGGATTGTTTAAAGTCTGTATTCAACTTCTTTACATTAGGGTACAGTCCCTTCTCTTCAGTTTTATTACATACCAAGTAACTGTAATGCAAATTGTGTAATTATTCATAATTTCAACCACAGTAAAGCTTCTATGATTTGTTGTTCATTTCAGTTCAACACCGGCAACAACACCTGAATTCTCAACTCCAATGACACGACATCCTTGATTTGTTGTTCATTTCAGTTCAACACTGGCAACAACACCTGAATCCTCAACTCCACTGACACGACATCCCGCCATAGAACAGGATCCTGTACCAGTTACATCCACCTCCATCCTCACAACTTCCCTCTCACAGATCAATCTCAACTTTATCCTCTCGTTCCATCATCAGTCTTCAACTGTAGACTTTTCCACCAAAATTCTGTATGTATTCCTTATGTCCCCCCCTTTCATCTAATATCATCAGAACCCTGACGATGGGGACAGAAATGGTACCTGAAACGTCACTTTCGCCTGTCAACCATTTTAAGCGGATGTCCACCGGAGAAGACTTTATTGAGTTACGTTCACTGTACCCTCCTCAACATTATTAGGTTACGTATTACAAATCACAAAGTTTAATGACGAAACAAAAGCAAAATATAAAATCAAAAATTTGTCTTATCTGTAATTTGTCGTCAATCAAAATTATTTTCAGTAATCTCAATATTAAATATACGAACTAAAACTACAAATACAAACCAACCAAAAGCAAACAAGTGCCATTGACATCAGACATAAAACTGTAAGATGAATATTCTGAATAACTTGTTTCTGTAGAGTTATAGTCTGCACTTGTAGCAAAATCTGTTGAATCAGAATGATTACAAACCATAAAATTTAATAAAGAAGGGTAGGAACAGGCCACGGCATATTAAAAGTACAGAACCACGGAACTGAAATAAATCTTAAGAACACGTGATATCAGATTAAATTGTAAATTACCTGGCACACGGAAGCTTTAAAGAACGAATGGACAGCCCTACGGAAATGAGATAAAAAGTCAACTGCTAGTTAAAAGAATGCAGTTTAATTGAAGTTTTCTGACGTTTCACAGTTACTTTCTGCCATCATCATGGCGATGAAATCTCGATTTAGTTAGGATGATGAACTGATGGTCCACTGTCAGGCTTCTATGAGCCTTTAGGTTGCATAAAAAGTGGAATACTTTTGTCCAGCTGAATGACAATTAGCTTCTTCCGAAGAACTGAGTTGGTGAGGAAGAAACAGAAATTGCAACGATAAAAACTCACAATGACGTCAGTATTTAAAAAAAATGTTGTTTGGATATGGCAGCGTTAAGTAATAACACACAAACGTAATTATTTCTAGCAAGTACACACATTCTTCTTTCGAGTATACAAATCAACTCGTCCACGTGATGCCGACACCCACGACGAGCAACAACTTTTCCGGAAGAGACAATTGTTCTGAAATGTAAGACGTGAGGACGCTCATACGGAGAGAAACTTCACGTCCGTGAAATCTTCCCAGACAACAACAAAGCCCACCACTTGCCAGGCCGACGCCACCGCCACCGCCTTCCGACTGACTCCCTTCAAAACTGTTCACTTGCGTCGGCCATCTTTGGTCCAACACTTTCCTCGGCAGTTTTCTCCACTCACGGCAAGAGTCAAGCGACGGCCTTAGGAACGTGGGAACAGCCACAGCGTCGACTGCGCATTTCTCAAGCTGAAGTTCGCCCTTCACACCTTTGCCAAACTGAGGCTGGGGTCACGTCCAGTCTTAATTTTTCACCGAGCGGTTAGACCGTTCGGTTCCAGGGCCCTAAGGAATGTTGTCACAGCGGCGACAACGCAGATCACAGGATCGGATGCACTTTACTGGAAACGTGACTCCGAAAGCCCACAAATTCTGGAGCAAATCGATAAATCGTTGTCACCGAGTGATCCACCATTCTCACTACCAACCTTGCGGCAAAAACGGAGACGGCAGCAGAACGAGCGTTGTCCGTGTCGCCTTTTCCTTTCCATTCCATTCCATTTCATTCTACCTCGACTGCCGAACGTTCCAACCTCACTTCCACACGTCGAGCTAGCGCAGTTGGCGGATGACGCGGTCCTCCGTTATCTGGAAGCCAATCTCGGCAGACTGGAGCTCTGCCTACGGGCCTGGAGGATTGTTACGAACGTCTCCAAGAGTTGGAAGGCACGAGGGCTGACTGAGGTCACGTGCGGGCAATCGAGGCTGTCCCTGAAAAGTCGGCGCAACGAGTGGTCCGACTAACTCGGCTACTCCTGCACAAAGGACAAGTTGCCTGACAGGACAGCCTCTCACCAGCAAACAGCCCCTAGTTTGAACAGCAGAGGCTTTCCGCCACGACAGAATCTCCGTTAGCGTAACCAAAATTCCCGTCTTAGTTGTACGGTCGTGTCTGCCATTTGAAGAAATGCGTTTCGTACGCAGGAATGACGTAACCTAGCAAGGGACGACGTCTAGCGCCTGCGACTTTTCTCCCCCTGTTGAACGGGAGTTGCAGTAACAGTGAATGCCTTCCCAAGAACGCTCATTCCGCTGAATCGGTTGTGCACCGAAACGTCGCCGGGCTGAGAATGTGCGCAAGACAGGAAATGGCCGCTGCCGCCGAGGCGGTGACAGATCAATGCGTCGGTGTCGGCGCACGAGGTGGTCTGCGGCGACGGCCTTCGAGTAATTGATTCTGCTTCGAGCGCATTCGCACTCCGTGTGACCGGACGGCAGATCTGACCTTTCGCGAACAGAGAACAGCAGCGCAAAAGTTTAAGGTCGGTTTTTAACGGGGAGGGCAGTCGAACTCCTGATTATTGATGTTCCTAAAGGCATCGCCCATTAAAAAGCAAACAAGTTTTACGTCAGTTTCGTTTCGTTCGGACGCCCGCAAAAATGTTTCTTTTCATAAAAGGGCAGTGCATTAACTAAGGCAGAAGACAACTCGCATTTTGGACAAGCTTTGAAACTTCGTCTTCCTCAAGAGTTGAGTTACCGACGAGTACTTCTTCCTGCAACACACGCGATCGCCTGATCACTTCCGGGTTTAGCAGCGGCTCCTACTCGCCGTCCAATTACTCACTGACGACTGCCAGTGCACCGGATCACATCACATGCCATCCGCCACCCTCGTCGAGAAATGCCCACCTTAAATCAGGCTACGCCCCGCGCACTTCAACGTACGACACAATTCTCGCCATCAATTGACACTACGTAATGAGTTACGTCTCTCAGTACCCTTGCGAGATGGATCTTCTCGAGCAGCCTGCCAACAGTCCCTTGGAAGAAGGCGGGGGGTCCTTCCCCGGCTTCAGTATTGTTGCCACGAGGGCGTCTTTCCATGACGGTGAGAAGCACAGATTTGCCATCGCCAATTTCAACATCTCCTGAGAGATACGAAATCTGAGTACGGAGATGTTAATAAACCATTGAGGGAAGTTCAGAGGCTGAGTCGTGGTGGGAGGCTTAAAACGCGTGTGGTCTGAAATTAGAAACTGGAATGAAGAGGAAACCTTTTTCAACGACTGGACACGAGAATTTGCCACAAGCAGCAAACTGCCGTGTGAACTGAATGTCTGAACAAACAACAGCGCTCCAGAGGGAACTCCGACGACTGTGAGAACAAAAGGTCGCGCTCCCCGTTTCGAGAGGAAATTCCGCTTCTTGAGCACACACGCAACTGCGTTTTCGAGATGCAGCCCATAAGCGCAATGGCCGAAACGCATTTTCGCAGGAGAAATGAATGTTCACGAGGGAGGCCGATCGCGTGCGTCCTTTGCAACGCGCATTTACAAGAATCAAATCTTGCAGCACTAAATGAAAACATCTCAAAAATTCAATTCGATTAAAACTGAAAATCTTACAAAATTCAAAGTTTAAAAATTCGAAAATCCTGAAAAGTGTGATATTTTCAAATTTGAGATTTCGAAATCCAAAAACAAACAATTCACAATTTGCACATACAAATTCCAAATTTAAACATTTACCACAATCTAAAATCTCTTAATCGAAACAACCTAAAATAACCTGAAACTGTAAATCCTGTATTCAAAATAACCTTCATCTCCAAAGGCTGGAACTTAAAGTACCAATGGGTTCCTAGTCATTGAGGCCTCCCTGGCAACGAGACTGACGATGGCTTGGCCAAGAAAGGCTGCGACTTGGACCAATCAGAGCAAACAATCAGATTAATCTGGCCATCGCCACGAAAGTCAGAGAGGATTGGGAACGAGTATCGCAGTCAACGCCTCCCAAGAGAGAAATTTGTAGCTAATTTTAGAGCAGATTACCTGCAGAAGCGCCTTCACACAATCGGATTTCGAATACCCCTTTTGCGAAGAAGGCATCATGGCAACACGTGGGGGCTTGGCCATTGCCACACGATACCGATCTGCTCGCGAATTAATGGCCGAAAGGCGACTTAAACTTAATATTTAAAATAACCCAACCCCTTGTTACGTCACATCACACGGAGTGGACCCGTCCGTCTGCTCCGGCCACTGCATCAAGCTACACCCTGCTTATCTCTAGAGCCTCCCCGCCCAATTTCAGGTCGGACCTGAGGCTTGCATTCCGGCACGTTCGACCCCTTGGCCTCCGTTCTCACTCATCTGCTGGTGCGTCTTCCTGGTTTCTTGCGAGGACGGAGAACCCTCCGATCGACTTACGGTTATCCAACGGAGAAGAATTATTAGTCATCACACGAATGAACGAGTCCTGAGAGCTTCAGCGAATAAGAACGCGTACAATGAAAACAGTTTTCGCTCTGGTGGTTCACACAGTCAGCCGACGAAGGCCGTGGCCTAGTTCACGGCGGGTTCTTGAGCGATCGCCACCTTTCACCCGCTGCAACGTTTCGTGGCTTCCACGACCTTGTTCCCGGGTCAGACGTCTGCTCTCATACGACGAAACACGGTCGGGACCTTCCCATTGCCCTGCGAGCCGTTGCTAATTGCCTGTGGGGGGGGGGGGGGAGAGAGAGCAACTTTCTCACGCGTTGTCGGCTTCTGTCTCCCCTGGTGAGTCATCCACCCACACGACCGCTTTCGTCATGGTTACGACAAACACGTCGCATCTTTCCTTCGGAACAAACCCACACGCAGAGTTCCTCATCTCACACTCCAAGTCCGCCCACAAAGCTGAATCAGTGAGATCCTACTTTTCGTTGGGAAGGGAAATCTTTTTTTTGGGGGGGGTGAAAAAATTATGAAAAAGTGCGCCGTTTCAGACAACATCCGAGCTCGAAGCGCGGACCCCCCGATCAGTGACGTTTCTCATGTAGGAAGGGACGACGGACGAGACCGCGTGTTGGGGGGATGTTTACCGACGCGCTGTGCCATTCTATGACCCCTACAAAATCGATAATCGCAAACGCAGCGCACGACGACTCGGAGTTCCTCTCTTCTTGCTACAGTCACTGATGAGCGGCGTCGGCTGGTGGATTCTTCGCATTCCTCAGCTCTGAAGATTACTGTCGGCGAAGAGACGAAAGCGTGCTACGCCCTTTCACTGCACGCCGAATGCAACACAACTGCCAGGCGTCTCTAGCCCCAGCTCGATTTTGGGGCGCCCCAATACAAAATGAACGATAATTCCGCAACCAACAGATACACAAGCAAGCAATTCGTCAAAATGGAACGCAAAAGTCAGTGCAACCTTAAATTCCAAAACGGTGCGCTAATTATCCTCGCACGTCTGCAGCACACAAAAGACTTCTGAATGAACCATTAAACATCGTAACGCTGTACAATTAATCATTTCCGTGAGCAAAATGGGCACTTAATAATGAAGACAAAGACTTCCACTAAGTTCGGAGCGGATTTAACCCTCGAAACTTTTCCTAAGGCTCCCAGAGTAAACAACTAAGATAATAAGCATAAGGCCGATTGTCCTTTGTTTCGCGTTTTCCTTGAAGCAAGGACTGGACTTTCAAATGTTATCTGAATGCATAACGAGCCTCGTTCTTTCCTCAGTTGTGAGGCAAATGGCAGGGAACAGTTCAAAATGGTCCTCCCTCCCCCCAAGTCACAAAGACCTTGCAACCTTTCTGGGTTCAACTCCCAGACACCCGTCGCACCGAAGCTATTTCTGAAGAGGGCCCCTTCCCAGCAGCAGCACGCCCACAGCCAGAGCCACAGCAGTGCAAGAATTCTGCTGCTCTTTGCGAGAATGGTAATACGAGCAACTTCCAATGCTACTTATTAATCACCGTTATCAACTACACAAAATGTATCTAAAATTCTTATGTCGAGGTTAACTCAAAACGTAGACGAATTTACTGGCGATCATCAGAACGAATTTCGACGTAATCGATGAACCGCCGACCACAAATTCTACATTCGTCAGAAACCACAGAGAAAATTGGACAACAAACATTCTCATGGAATTGGACGCACAAATTAAACTGCCCGGCGTTATTAAAATGGATTTAAATGAATCCAGCCGCGAAGTTCGTGTAGACAAACATTTGTCCAACGCATTTTCTATTCAGAATGGCCTGAAACAAGACGACGCGTGGTCACCCCTGCCATCAGCATCTTCGAAGAACAAAAGAAAAGCGACTGGAATTGGAAGACACGTGTCAGCTTCTGGTCTGTTCTTAGCATAAATAAAAGTAAAGTTCTCCCGCTACACGCCATGTAGGCGCTTGGGTGGAGAGGTGATATGGCTCAGGAAAATCCTCTGCCCCCCAGTCGGGGATCGAACCCCGGCCGTCCAGCCCGTCTAAAAACATAAATATCGCCTTCGAGAGGAAATCACAGGCAGTGCCTGCAGCCACTCGCAGTTCGGGGTCTTCTGTCCCACCGACGGCTACCTCAAAACATTACAAAACCACGGGCGTGAAACTTGGTCTCTCACGTCAAGGGAGGTACCCGAAAACAGAGTGCGATTATATCCGGACTGGAGTGACGCCGCCGGAGAAAGGTTATTCTGAGCACAGCAACGAAGGCGTCCTCTCAGGTTCTAAAGGATTATGCTCCATGCTCGCGCGAGGCTTAGTCCGGGTCGTGTGCGTCGACTTCGCACGTCGACACGCAAAAAATCCGGTAAACGGCAGACATCATTAGGTTAATTTAACATTTGTAACCGAGTTTTTCTCGATCTGAATCAATAGCAAAGATCCTGCACTGTACCCGTCGACACCAGAATTCATCACGTGTGTGGCAATGTCAGCCAGACAGATGCGTCCTGTCAAGGGCGGGTTTGAGCCTGCGGTGCACAGACTTAAAAGCAGACGACGTCGAAAGAGAGCAGAGGGAACTTCAAAATCCAGAAGACGCCTTCCCAGTTAAAGTAAAAGAGGCTTTACTTCAGGCGTGGTTTTGACTGATCAGTGCCTGGGGAAAACCCCGCCGACGTTTTCTTCAACTCAGCTCGCGTCACGTTTGAACGGGCATACACTGAGCCCAAAAAGCGCGCTGTAGCGATTTCGAAAAAGTGCTCTTGAACAAAAGCAAATTACATCATCGATCGAGTTACCTTTGACTGCCCGTCGCGCCAGGCTTTGACCGCGGCTTCCCGTTGCAGATGACTCCCGAGAACACCGCACGTCCGCTTTTGTGCCTCGTCTCTGCAGAGCCGAATCAGCGGCTGGCGCTTGCGACGACGCACGTCGAGCTTCGAGGCGACGACGCTGACACTCGCTTCCGCTGCAGTCGGAAGTGGGCCACCCACAGTCTCGGTCAACAAATGCTCGACCATCTTCGCCTCCGCCTCATCTTTATCCAGATTCAACACAACTTTCAGTTCGTTTCGCTTAGTCTTCACTGTTTTCCTCTCGTGGCGCCGATCGCCGTCCCCTAAAGACGTCGGTCTTGAAACCCCTGAAGACGAACGCACGGCAGCGGCCATTCAACACTCCCCGCGGAGTGACTGGAGAAAGCAAGACGCTCGCATCGCCGCGTCTACGCTCTCAACGAAAGGCCTGGGAAGAAAATTAGACTCTTCTGCTGAAGAACGAAAGCTCGGAAGCCTGCGATTTCGATATATTTCTACGCAAACAAATCTCGACTTTTACATTTTTCGCAATATTTTCCATCGCCTAATTTCACCTCTAGGCCAACCGTTTCGGGGCACTACTATTTCACCTCTAGGCCAACCGTTTCGGGACATTACATAACTGGGCTCTAGTTGACTAAATTTGTGTAATTTCTTTCCAATTTCCTGTCTGCTCTTACGACAAAATATAACGTGGTCATCGCATTATTCAACAGCTTTTGTGAATACTTCGAGAAACGTGCTTGTGGACTGAGTGATAATGTAAGATCTGACAACGTAACAAAACATTCGCGTATTTCCGGCAACTAACACCACACGTGAGGCGTTGTCGCTTACGAGATTCGAAATTATGCCACCAGAAAACGCATTTTCTGGGATCCGGCAGGACACTCGACGAAACTGACAGGTCGCCACAAGAGCGAGCGAAGCGACGAACGTGCGACTAGAGGAGGAACGCGACAGACACAGAGAACAATTCCAGGGACACAATACTGTGGTCTTCTGGGTTGTACCGCCGTGCGGACTTGGAGGCAGATACCGACGCCCATTTAGCAAGTCCACGCGATGTTACTACCCAGAAGACAGCATT